TAGCCTTATTGTGTTACCTAGAAGATGACACATCATAATTATTGTAATTTGGCTCATCAGGGGAAAAAAAGCTGGACCTGGGGGATGGCTAAGTCTGTAAAGTGTTTTCCTCAAAAGCTTGAAGACTCAAATTGGATCTCCAGAACCACATAAAAGTTCTGGGCATAGTGGCGACTGCTTGTAATCTTAATACTGGGAAGGTGGGGACAGGAGGAGCCCTGAGGCTCTGGCTGGTTGGTCTAGCCAAATTGGTGAGCTCCAGCCTAATGAGAGTACCTGTCTCAGAGGAGGTAGATGGCTTTCCTTCCAAGGTAATATCCTCCAGCCTCAACATGCACTCAGACACATGCAGTCACACATACATGTACACACACAGCCACACACATGTAAATAAAAATTAAAGACCTCCTACTAGCTCACTTGGAAGTCTTGGGGATACCAGGATGCTGGTAATGATGTTCTTTCTACAAAGATATCATAGTTGAGTGTGAAAAATTAATTTTTTCACTTTTGATGGATGAGGTAGTTATATATGCATTTACTATGTGTGTACATATTTTATGCACTTATATTATTAAATATATTCATTTTTATATTTCTAAATAACAAGCTATCATCAACCCGGTGTCTTGAGCCCACGGTCTTTTATGATCTTACAGTTTCTAGGGTAGAGCTGTCTGGCTCACTGCTCAGCTGATTCTTTGCTCAGGTCTCATAAGGCAGAAAATAATAGTGTTCAATAGGCTGTGTTTTGAGTGCAGAAGAATCCCTGTCCAAGCTTGTTCACGTTGTTGACAAAATTAGTTTTCTTGTAACTGTAGGACTGATGTCCCTGTTTCCTTTCTCTCTGTCAGCTAGGACTGTTCACAGGTTCTAGAGACTTCTGCAAGTCTTGCCACATGGCCCATGGGCTCATCTTGACAGCAGCTCACTTCCTCAGAGCTAGGAAGGAAGTCTCTCACCTTAGCTACTGAAATGGAATCTTACATAGAGAACTAAGATCAAGTGCTGGTGCCCTGTTCTAAATTCTGTTGGGGAGAAGATTCCTTAAGCAGGATGGGAATACGTTACAGGCTACCATAGGATTCTGCCTACCATAATATATTTTTTGGCTATTGCACAGACTTCTCCAAAGAAATTTCAGCACTTAAGTGACAAATGAGAGAGGTCCAGATGAAGAATCAACACTGAGATCTAGGATATCAGAAGTAGATTGTTTTCCCTCAATAGATAGAAAGGGAGAGGAGAAAGGCATGTCTATATGTTCCATAGAAAGGCGTTGAATAGAAACAGTGAGGTGTTTGCCTCATGTGTTTGGTGTAGACCTCCACAGGATGCTCACGGGGTTTGTTAGCTAGATGGGAGTCACTTTTTATGTGAATACCTTAGCACTGGGTGAACGTTCAGGAGTGAGATATGGTAGGAACACAATTTGAGGGACAAGTCTCTTGGAGAGGGCACTGTAGCACACACATGAGACAGATGGTGGCTTAGTCTACCTTGGGCAGGAACATAGCCTACATATTGATAGGCTGGGTGCTGAGAGGTACTCATTTTATTTGAGGCAGAGCTTTAACTGAAATTGCTTTGTAAGGCACGTAATCACCGAATGAGGCGATGGAATGAAGACCTGGAATGTGATGACACACACAGAATGTGCTCACTCATTGGGGATAAGGTTTGGTGTGAGCCAGACCAAACCTGGAGCACTGGAGGGAAAGATGTTTCACTGTCAGGTTGAAAGGCACATAAAGACAGCCTTACGGACATAATCATGAGCATTATTTTCCAACATAGAGCTTCACTGCAACACAAAATTAGATATGTATTTCTAAGGAGGGGTGAGGTGCAGTTGGGTTTGCCTTCTTTCACTGTTGAAGGTGTATTGGATTTCTCAAGATAATTTGAATTGTTAGAAAGAAAATGGTCTTTTCAGCAGGCTACTTGGAAGGTTAACATAGGAGGTTTTTCCATGAGTCTGAGGCCAACCTGGACTATAGACTGGGAGAGACCCTATCTCAAAACAAAACACCCTCCCCCTAAAAGGAAACAAAGCAAAAACAAACAAGGAAACAAAGCAAAACAAACAACAAAAAAAGGGCCAGCAAAAAAGATGGCTCAGTGGATAAAAGTGCTTGCCACTTAATAAACTCGATGACCTTAATTTGAGCCCCAGATTCCATGGTGTTAGGAGAACAGACTCCTGAAAATTTCCCTCTGACCTCCACACACAAGAAATGGCATACATGTGCCTACATTCCTGGAACTGGAGTTAGGGCAGTTAGCTACCATGTAGATGCTGGGAACTGAACCTGGGTCCTCTGCAAGAGCAGCCAGTGCTCTTAACTGCTGAGCCATCTCTTCAGCCATGAAAAAATTCTTTTCATAGACAAATTTAAATTTGTCTGAATTTAAAAAATAAAATTAATTCATTACGGGTATTATCCGTTATCTGTGGCCACTCATTGAAGAAAAGGTTTTGTCCTTGAAGGAGCAAGTATGTGTCTTTTGATTGAAAGATGAGAACTTGCTGCCTGGAAAGGGTATTTTGACCCAATTTAGTCACTCCCTCACTCCAGAATTTTGGGTGATTCTATTTTTCTTCCCTCTAATATTTGATGCTTATGTTTATATTTTTGTTTTATTTATTTTGATATCTGTGCCTTTTATTGCATTTTGAAATATCTTCAAAAATTTTTTTTTTACAACTTGGGTTAAGGTAAGTTGTACTAAGGGAAATAATTAGTTCACCAAAATTTTTCTTTCTAGCACTTCAAGCTCTACATTTGTGGCAACAGACCTATCTCTCCTGTTGGACTATTTTCAAGGACTGACATCAGGTTTCAAGTAGCTTAAAAGGTGAGTAGAACCTAAGGTCTGTCCTTGCAGCCTATGGAAGCAGTAGTGCTTCTGGGATGGTGCATCTCCACTTTGCTTCTGTTTCTAACTTCTCTGTGTGTTTAGTTTTTGAGGTGGGGCATAAGTGACTGAAACTTGGGCTATATGGAAGTAAAAGCTTAGATGGTAACTATATGTTTTAGTGGCTCTGCCATCCTTTAGCCTGAAGCTAGATTCAGAGGCAGCCCTGGTGGGGTCAATCAGGAAAGGTGCTAGAGAATGTAGAGCACTGCCCCCAGCTGCCACTGTGTCCTCTGTTTGCTTCTTACTTAAGGGCTGTCCCTTTACCTTACTATAGCTCTGCTTTGTCAATTCTTAAGTGATTTTACTGATTTTTGACCTTCCTAATCAGGCTTCATTTGATGTTCCTTGACATCAAATAAAGATGTATGAGAATCTTCAAAATGATAAGGAATTCCATAAAATTTTGCAAAGTTTAAAAATATTTTAAAACGTTGCCAGAAGGTATGGCTCATTGCTCATGGCAAATCCTTTCATAGCTTTCTAAGGGCCAGGACAGAGCTGGCTCCCTTTGACCTCATTTCCCTCTCTGTTGCCTCCCTGCATGTCTGGTCTTGAACAGTGTCTGCTATGTCAATACAACTTTTCTCAAAAGAAATGAATTGATGATAGTCTCTCTGGAGGGTCTCAGAGGACTTATTTCCAGATTTTAAAAAATTTATGTTTGCTACTGAGATTTGACAAGGCAATTGGAGCAGGAAGGATTCAATGTGCTTCCTTATTCACAGATCCAGAAACTTGAATTTAAATTGTGTGTTATATAGCAGACCACACTCTGTGTCAGTGTGGGTACAATGTCTGTCTGTATGGCTGAGTTCAATTCAGTTTATACATAGTTCTTTGCTGAGTGAATCTCATTATCAGATGTCTCAAAACTTGGAGCCCTTTTGACTGCATCTCTCAGGGTGGATGGCAGGTCTTCACAGGAAGTGCACCCCAAGGATGTTCAGTACTGCTGGAATGCTTATTCATGTGATCTCTTAATAGTACAACATGATGACTGAGAGCCCCTTTTTAATTTTTTAAAAGGTTTTTAAAATTGAATTTTTGTGAATCTCATATAATATATTTTGATCACATTTAGACCACTCCCCTGTCTGTACTCTCCTCTTAATACTCCCTGCCTGATTTCGTGTACTCTGCTATGTATATTAAGACCTAGCAAGCTAAATTTGTGTCTCCAAATGCCTTTTGGTGTGGGTTCATCCACTGGAGTCTGGTTTACCTATCCTGCATCACACCCTTAAAGTAAACTGACTACCCCTCTCCCAGCAGTATTTGTTGCCAGTAGTTCCTCACTGAGGGCTGGAATTTCTTACTCACTTCCCCACTTCTGTGCTGGGATTTTTGTCTGGCTTAAGTTTGTGTGCATCTTGTACACGATGTTATCAATACTGTGAGTTCATTTGAGTAACTGACTAGCTGTCTGGAAAACTCTGTTTCCTTGTGGTCATCTACCACCTCTGGCTCTTACAATTTTTCCTTTCCCTCTTTTGCAGTGATCCCTGAGCCTTGGGTAGCAGAGGTGTTCTATTTAGGGATCAGCACTCTGCAGCCTCTTAGTCTCTGCATATTGGCTGGTTGTGGGTCTCTGGGTTAATTACCATCTGCTGTATGAGGAAGCTTCTCTGGTGAGAGTTGAGAGATGCATTAATCTATGGGTATAATATTAAATCATTAGGAGCCAGTTTAATACTATGCTTATTTATGAGAATAATAGAAGTAGGTTGTCCCCTGTATCCTCTGACCTGTCTTACCACAGGTGCCTAGGCCTGATATCAGTGTCAGGTATGGGCTCTATCTTGTGAAGTGGACCTTAAATTGAATCAGAAACTGGTTGGATACTCCCATAGCATTTGTGCCACTCTTGCAACAGTGAGCATATTTTGCTAGGCCAATTATTGTAGCTCTCATGATTCATAGCTGGACAAGATTGTTGATTAGTTTTCTCTTCTGGTAGCATAAATAGCACCTTTCAGCACTATGAAAGCCAGTCAGTAGAAATGAAGCCTTGAAGTCAGTATCAGCTTGATTTCTTGTTTTTTTCTATAGCTCATTATATAGTGTCTTCAACAATAGGGTCTTACTATCAGGTCCTGGTGGGTAAGCAAGACAGGGGCAATGGCTAGTATTGTTTGAGAGTCTATGGGACCCCTGGTCAACAGCTTTGAAAGAGGGAGTCTATTCTAGAGCTTTTTTTTTTTTTTTTAATAGTCTATGGTGTCTAGTGGGGGTGATTTCTCCTTCTTGTAAGATACATCCTTTTAGGGGCTTGAGAGATGCCTCAGCCTTTAAGAGCACTGGCTGCTCTTGCAGAAGACCCGGGTTCAATTCCTAACACCCACATGGCAACTAACAACTGTCCGTAACTCCAGTTCCAGGGAAGCCACTAGCTTCTTCTGTCCTCCATGGACATTGCATGACATGGGTGCACTTACCTACATGCAGGCACT